AGCAATAAGAACCGTGGGAGCAATGAAACCCAAAATGTGTAATAGTCATTGTACAAAAGAGAGGAAAAGAAAGTGCTCTAAACTATATAACTGCATGTATATTTAAGTGTATAAGATAGAAAATGATATCACAGAGTTTTGTTGGATCATTGAACAGAACTGTTTGTAGTATCATTGTTGGAATATCCACTCTACAAGCTTTAATTTTGTGACTTGAACAATTATTTCTAAGATGGCAATATGTAATCCATTAACTAATGATTTCCTACTGTTCATTTTTTTCTTCTGTAAATCTGTATAACTTGTACCCTTTCACTGTTTTTTTTTCTTTTCCCCTTAAATTAAAAAAAAAAAAGGCAAGCAATGTGGAAGCTGAGGAAAACCCGGAACGTGCATGCAATACCCCAAAGGCAGGAACACAATGTGCTTGTGTGGTAAGAAGATATCAGAGAGGCCACCAGGCTGTAACCCATATAAGGCTTTGTAAGAACCTCAAATTTTACTCTTAGACAAGAGGAGTGGCATGACTCAATGTGCTGGTCAGGAAGAGCCGTCCTCTGGATGCTGTGAGCAGGACAGATTGTGGAAGCAAAGGAAGACCAGTTACGAGGTACCTGGGGTAGTTCAGAGGAGAAACTACGCTGGCTTTGACTGGCAAGGCAGTGTGGGGATGGTATGAACTGATGAGGTCCTGGGTATCTTTATAAAAAATTATTTTTATTAATGCATGCTGGTAGTATACAATGATTATATTCATTGTGGGGAATTGGTACCTGTACATAACATGTCCTAATTCTTTTACATGCCCTTCTCTCTTCCACACCCTTTCTCCACCTCTTGGTTCCCTCCCATTTGTGAAAGACCTATTTCTCTGTTCCTATTATCTGTCTTCTATTTTGCTCTTAAATTTAATTGTGGTTTGGGTGTCTCATATAAGAAGAACGGTGTGATATTTAAGCTTGTGTGTCTGATTTATTTCACTTAGGGTTATGGTTTCAAGGTGGATCTAGTTTCCTACAGCTTACTCAAATTTATCCTTATGTCTCTATAGTTGTCCACTGTATAAATATAGCTTTTCTTGCATCCATTCATCTTCTGAAGACAGGTAGGTTGCTTCCAAGACTTAGCTATAAATTGTGCTGCTATTAATATGGGTATACTTGTACCATTATAATATGATCCTTCTTGAGATTTACTGAGGTCATTGAAGTTACCACATGTGAAAAAATTATTAAGACTAGGAGCAGAGTGTGGAGAAAATAAAGTTTTCTCCTTACATACTTTTCCTCCAGTTTTGACAACTAAATTATCTATAAAATTATGGGGGTGCATCACCATGCTTGGCTGTCCTTCTGTTTCTGCATTGGTACCAACTCACCATGGACTGAAACTGTGAATGAAAATAAATTTCTCTTCCTATAAGTTTTGGGTGTCAGATATTTTGCCCTAGTGATGGGTCAGGAAAGTGACTAATACAATGGGAAATATATAATTGTAGACAGTTTTCCTGGGAAAGACTATTCAAACATGATCACTCAAACTCAGTCCCATTTGTGTGTTCAAACTGAGGCCTTCCCTTCTCTGATAAGGACTAGTTGAAAATTCATGAGGCCAGGCCACTTCTGCACTCTGAATAAACTGGTTCCAAGCAGAGTGAGAGCAAGCGAGGATGGGGATGGGAGAACATGAGTGCACCAGCAACACGGAGAAAACACTGAATAGTGGTCTAACATGGAAGCTTCTCAATCTCCTGGTACAACCACTGTCATCTTTTGATAAAGGGGATGTTAAAGTTTTACCTTGATTGTGGCAACAACTTTGTACATTATCCTTAAACTTGAGCCCCCCTAGCCCCAGTTGAGCCGATCCCATCATCTGGTGCTGCTTTCCTCTGTCACAGAAGGTATCCGCACAGGGTGGAGGAACAGAGAGGGTAGAGTTCTTCACCAGTAGACATGGCGGGAGTGAGGAAGATGTAGGTAGCTTTAGAAGTCAACATGACTGAGAAACTCCACTTTCTAGTTGTGTTTTGACTAAAGGATAAACATAGGCCCATTTTCTTAGTTCCCTGTGTACGTGGAGGTGTGTTCTGAGATTGTGCCTGATACTCAGGTTTCTGTCACCCTGTTCTGTACTGTACATGGCCCAAATGTACTGTGGCAGTGAGACGGGGTTGCTGAGAGACTGTAGAAAACACTAGACAGCTTGTGAGAACTTCTAACAGGGAGGGTCCCCCAGGGGTATGTGCTGTCCGGCAGTGATGCTCAGAAGGTCCTACCTCTCTACCATGCTTTACTCTACACCCAGTTACTGTAGGGAGAAGTTTTAAAAAATAGATTAGACCACATAAGCAGTGACATCATTAGCTTGCTTTGTTCATTGTGTGAATCTATCTACAACACAAGAATTAGAAGGCCAGGTAGCTTGTGGTTAAAAATTAACTTTGTAAATGTATAACTCAATACACATGTGTACCAGTCAGCTTTCTCATTGCTGGGACCCAATACTTGACACCCACAATTTAAAGAGGAGAGTTTTTTTTGGACTCACAGTTTCAGGGCATTTAGACCATGGTCAGCTGGTTTAGAGGAAGAAACATCTATCAGAAATGTGTGCAGAATAGAGAAGCTTAGTTTATGGTGAGTGGGAAGCAGATCAGTGGAACAGTACTGGGGAGAAGGGGGACAAGACATTCCTCCCTGAACCTCCTAAACATTCAGAAGTGTGCTCCACCATTCCCAGGTGAATCCCAAAGCCAATCAAGCTGATGCAACCAAGTTTGACTATCATACCATAATTACTGAATCAGATACCTTTTACTTACTGTCTTAGTTACTTTTTACTCATTGCTGAGACAAAATACCTGAAGACCAAGTTGGGAAAGGAAAGGTTTATTTCTTATTGTTTTTGGAGGTTTCAGTCCACACTTAGTTGGCTCCAAGGCAGGTAGGCATGGCTGGGCCGCAGTTCATGGCGGCTGCAATTGCAACGACAAGGCAGAAACCAGCAAAAGAGCAAGACACACCTTCTTCCTGTCCTTACCTTACATCCTGGCTCCACCCCTATGTGGATGTAGCACTGACACCCTCAATCCAAACGCTAGACAATGAACTAATCACAAATGCACAATGCAAACTCATGAGGCCTGGGGGCCACAGACATAAACCATGATACTTACCTTTCAGATCCTCTTGGCCTCACCCATCTCTTTTACTAGTTGCTAGTGTGGCCAGAAGCTTTGACTGACTTCATGCAGGGACAGCATGACAGTACCTCTCCTGCAGCCCATGCTGCAAGCCTCTCTTGTCCCAGCCTGGTCATTCTTTTTTTTTTTTTTTTTTTTTTTTTTTTTGTCTTTTTCCTTTTTATCGGTACCAGGGATCAAACTCACCTTGCTTTCAAGGCAAGTGCTTATGCCGCTGAGCTAAATCCCCAACCCCCAAGCCTGGTCATTCTTTATTGTGGCCATTGTTGGATGACCTTTGTTAATCTAAAATGTCCCCTGAAAGTCTCATGTGTTCAGAGATGGGACTTTTAGAAGGTGATTGGATCCTGGGGGTGTTATGTTTGTCACTGATGAATCCACAACTGAATGTGCTATGAGGAGATGGGGCCTGGTTGGAAGTGATTCACTGAGGCATGACATGGAATGATCTATCTCCTTCATTGTTTCCTCCTTTCTCACTATTTCTGACCACCACCCTGTGAGGAGCTTTCCTCTGCTCTGCCTTTCTGTCATACCATTCCTGCCTGTAGCCAGTGAACTATGGACTGAAACCTCTAAAAAACTGGGCCCCCAAATAACTTTTTCATTATTGAAGGTGTGAGTGTTGAGTATTTTGCCCAGCAATGAGAAATTCACTGGGACAGCTTCAGTACCTTTATACCAGCAACGTGGGAATGCAGGGAGTTCATGCCCCACAGGACCACTGGGAGATGGAACACAGGGGTAACGCCTCACTGTTTCTCTCCCAGGGATGAGCTTGAAGATGCACTGCGTATGGATCTAGATGTTGTTCTGTGCAGCTGAGCACTCAGGGAGGCACAGTTCATAGCACGATCTCATGTTGGGTCTCTGCTTCCCTGCTTTTTTGTTCTTATCCAAATCATCTACTCCACAGGATTTTGCTATCTAATAAAGTAAGAGCAAACAAGTGCTCCCAGGCTTTGTTTTCCGTAGAACCTAGGCTAAGACACTGACTTTAGTGAATTTGGTAAATTAAATTTAATAATATAACTCATGGGGTTTGTTAGTATGCTTTATTACTGAAATAACTGTTCACTTTCAAAAGAATAAATAATGGCACTGTAATGGTTTTTTATAAGAACATCAAATAATGCACATGAACAGAGATAGTTTAAGAAAAGCTCACTTTTTAATGGGCATTGTAGGTACCCTAAAGTACAGTAGGTGTATGTATTACTGTGTTTACTAGAGTTAGATGTAGATGCAAGACATTTGTCTGTTTGCTGGAGACCCAAAGGATCCAGTTGAGGGCCTGGAGCCAAAGGAGATTTCCTATCAGCAGGCTGAAGGATCTGTGCTGGGAGTCCAGTAAATCTGTGCTGGAAAGGCCCAAAGGTGAGTGCTGCAAGCTGAAATATCTGTGTCAAAAGGTGGAAGGATCTGAACCAGGAGGCTGAGGGGTCTGCACTGGAGACCAGGAGATGACGTCCAAGGAGAAGATGAGGATTGAAGCTCCTTCAAAGAAAGAAAGCAGCCAAGGAACATTCTAAGAAAGAACACCAAAACTGTCTCAAAGAAAAGCAGCTGCAATGAAGTTCCTTCCAGGAAGGATTTCAACTGAAATCCTTCCCTTCCATTCTCTATTTATACTGTTCTGGCATCCACGCTGTCTTAAATCAGCTGGACATTCCCACTCAAGTCTATGATTGATGAATCATTGACTACCACAGTATATACTGTCTGGTTTTCTAATGTAACTGAGATGAAATAAACACATGGGGTATAACACAGAAACACAATAGTGGGTGTCTACTGATTTCAGGTGGAAGTTGGAGAAGATTGACACGCCTGTGGTGGGGCCCCAGGTGCTTCCCACATTGGCTGCCCTTCGATAGCCAGACTGGGCCTGGCACCCGGCTTTCTCTGAACCCAGGTTCCTGGGGAGGCAACGGAGCATGGGATGGGTTTCCCCAAACCTGTACAGCTAACCTGAGGCTTCCCCAATGGCCATGTGGTGGCCATGTGGTGGTGGGGATGCTTCTTCTCTTGACCTGTGTGGCTACACTGGGACTACCCCAGTGGTGGCAGGCACACAGGGACATGTTTGTCTGATTCTCCCAGGCCATGCTGACTGCCCATGGGAAGCAAGCATCTCCAATGGTGGCCTGTGGGGGCACGGGGTGTATCTGACTGTTTCTCTCTGCCTACACTGGTTACCTGAGGGCAGCAAGTGTCCCAGTGATGGCAGATACACAGGGGTGGGTTTGGCTGTTTCTCCCTGTCTAATATTGGGTCTAAATTAAGTTTTCTGAAATACATATCTAATTATTTCACGCTGACATCTCAGAATACAATTGAAACTTTTCTTCAGTGTCGTTTTCACTTTCTTACCTGCTTTACACTTTTTATATTAACTAAGAATAGACCCATTATCTCTTCTTGGCTGAAATTTCTTTAACCTGGTCTTTGATTTCTCTGAAATACTTGCTCCATCTTCCTTTATTTAGTGATTCCACTCATACTTCAGGCTCCAGGTGAGGTATTACCTCCTCTAGAAAGTCCTTTGATTCCAAGACATAAGAATGGTTGCTCTTTGTCAGGTTCTGACAACCTAAGTTTACCACTGTGATAGTATTTACCACCTGTATTATTTAGACTGTGAACAGCTTGAGACCAGAGTCTTCCTGAGTGCATAAATTTTTTCCCCTCATTGAATTTCATATTTTAATTTGCTTCTATATATGTTGATGCTGCTGAAATTTTAAGTTCCAAGTAAGTCTTACCCAAGCTTCAGAGTTGAGTAGCAAAATAGGATATGTTTTTCTGCTTATTGAATTTGACAAAAGTAAAATTTCCTACTTTACCTCAATATTTACTTTAATTAACTACAATATTTAATTTGAAGTTGTCCTTTTGAAGAATTTTGGAGTCATCCTGACCTTCATTCAATTAGTTGTGAAATTCTAACAACGCTACTTACTAAATGTTTCTGGAATGTTTTCTCTTTTCATCAATTGTGTGCTGCTTTTGTAATCTCTAGTTCAAGTTCAAGAACACATCACTCCGTGTAGAGAGAAGATTACATTCACATATGAGTTGTTGCAGGATGTAGACGAATTTGCTTCTGGTTCTATTTTTTTTTTAAATTTTAAAAAGCAAAACAGAAAAACAGCTAGAAATGATACAGAATTTCAAAAAAGAAAAAAGTAAGGAATTAACACTAGTTAATATATTGCATATTGTTATCTCAGAACTAGTTGTTTAGGTTACAAAATCTAGACATAAGAGTGATCAATCAAACAATGACAGCACAAACTGCTATTTTTGATGAACTAAGAGAGATTAGTAGTATAGGTATCTATCTAGCATACATACACATACATACATTTGTATATGTTTACCAAATACATGTAATCTTTTCCTTTCTTCCTTTTTTCCTTTCCCCTGTCCCAGTAGTTCTGTCCTTTTGGGCACTTTCTTTCCCTTTCCTTATTCCAAATCTATCGTACATTTTGAATCTTATTACTCTTTCAGATTTTTATTTTTTTATACTAGGGAGACAATATGATATTTATAAATGTGAGTTTGATTTATTTCACTTATGACTATGGTCTCAAGTTGCCTCCATTTTATAAAAGCCTCAAGATTATCCCTTTCTTTAGCTGAATACTATTCCATTGTATAAAAATACCACTTTTTAAATATGTATTCTGAGACTGATGGGCATTTTGGTTGTTTTCAAGATTTAGCTATTACAAATTGTGCTACTTTAAACATGCACATATATCACTGTGTGCTTCTAGCTCTAGAGAAGGGTTTATTTAAAGTGGCCATCCAAATATATACTGAGAATAAAGTTTTTTCTTATTCTACTTTTCTTTTTTTTGTTTTAAAGAGGATAAAACCAAATGGAATGAAATAGGATAGAATCAGTCAAAACAAAACAATGAAGATGGTACATGGCTTCAAAACAAAAAGCAAGGAAATCAATAATGGTGACCATAATGTCTCTTGTTATCTTCAAAAGAACTACTCATACCATCAGGCATAATAAAATCAAACAAAATAGTACAGAATAAAACCAATAAATACAAAACAATGGAAGCAGTACCAGACTTCAAAAGAAGATAAAACACCAGTGGCTACCATAATGTCTCTTGTTATCTTCAAAGTAATTGCCTCGTTGCCTATACCATCAGACATGATACCACCAAACAAGGCAAAATAGAATAAAATCAGTCAAAACAAAACAATTAAAGCAATACAGGGTTTCAAAGCAGATAACAGGAAATCACTATGTCTACCATAATATATATTGTTATCTTTGAAATATCTGTCCATGCCATCAATATTAAAATTATACAAACCAAAACAAAATAAAACCCAACAGAACAATGAAGGCAAAATGAGTTTCAAATCATGAACAATGGCCACTGCCTTTCCTCTTTAGACACTTCCTCTCTCTTCAAGTTCAAAATATATATTGTGCATTTTGTATCCCAATAACTCCTTTAGTTTTTTATACTATGGAGACAACATGATATTCACCATGTGACTCAGAATCATATCACCCATGAGCATGATCTCAAGTTGTATCCATTTACCTACAAGAGCCTGAGGGTATATTTCTTTATAGCTGAGTAGCTTTGTATTGTATAAGAGTGCCATGTCTTTCTTATCCACTCTGCAACTGATGGGCAAGCTACTTCCACCTTTTTTTGGTTCCCTGTCACATAGATTATTGTTCTTGCTCCTTTGACTTTGTCTATAAACCCCTCTTTGAGTTAAATGTGTCTCTTGTATAAAGCATATTGATAGACCTTGTCTCCTGATCCACTTTGCCTGTGTTTCTTTTTATTGGTGAATTGAAGCCATCTATATTATCTATTATGGCCAACATGCTCTGCCTCATATCTGCCATGCTATTTTCCTGTTGTTGGTTGTCTACTTCCCCCTCCATTCCATTGTCTGCCCCACTTGGTGATCCCCCTCTGTCACTGTTCCTGGAACCATGGTCTTTTTAAAAAAAATCTTGGCCCAGAATGTCTTTCAGTATTTTTTGAAGGATTGATTTGGTGGTCATGAATTCCTTCAGTCGTTCTTTGTTATGGAAGTATCTTGTTTCTCCACTAATTTTGAAAGATAGTTTTGCAGGGTACATCAATGTGGACTGGAAGTTGTTTTCTTTCAGAACTTGAAGTACTTCACTCCAAGCTCCTCTTGACTTGATGGTCTGTGTTGAGAAGTCTGTCATGATTCTTATGGGTTTTCCTTTGTAGTTGATCTGTTTCTTTTCTCTAACAGCTTTTAATATTCTGTTCTTGTGTTGAATTTCTGGGACCTTGATTATTAAATGTCTGGGTGTAGATTTATTTTGGTTATGGCTAGTGGGAGTTCTATATGCCTCAGTTATCTGAATGTCACTTCCTTTTCCCATGCTTGGGAAGCTTTCTGATATCATTTCTGTAAACAGACTTTTAATGTCACTTGTTGATCTGGCCTGCAGATCAATCCGTGGGGTATATACCTGGAGGGGGGATGGGGATGAATAAAACAGTATGGGAGACAAAGAGAGATGGAGACAAGTTGAGGAGTCCAATCAAGTCTTGTTTATTCAGGAAGTGGTCGCATCTTTTATGGGCCAAGGGCGGGCTGGCGGGACAGGAAGAGGCTACGGGGTGGTTTCTGATGGGTCATCATCATGTCCGGGTATGTGACATAAGCAGGAGAGGATTATGGTTAATGTAGGCAGGTGCACCATGTGCCCATAGGAGAGGGAGGTGGGGAGGCAGCAATGGGGCTGTTGCGCTGCTCCCTACATCTCCTCCCTTTCTATATTATTTAATCAGGAGTATGGCAGGCCCTGTGAGGACAGCGCCTGTCTTAAGTCAAGGACCTCATTACATGAACCCAACCAGGCCTTACCCGTCATAGGCTTACAGGACAGCAGTTGGTCCTGTGCCTGTCTTAGGCGGCCAGTGGTGTAACATGTATGTCCTAGTTGCCCGTCTCTGGCTGCCTGTCCATTGCCCCACGGCAATTAGGCCACATCATCATATGGGCCACTTGTGGGAATTCTTTCCCAGTAGGTTTGTTGATCTGCCATCTCCAGCTGGTGATAGTGTACCTGAATGGGCTTTGCCATAAACGCGTCTATCCGGTTATTAATGAGCGTCATAATCCTCTGAAAAATACAAGGACCCACAGAAAGGAGAAGCAACAGGGAAGCTAGGGAATCCAAAAGGGGAGCTAGGTAAGAGAAAAGTCCCCCCCACATCAAGGAGAAGGGGTTAGCAGCCATTTGTTGTCATCGCTGTTGAAATTGTTCTTCTATTTCTTGGAGCTTGCCTCGCACAACACCAGACTGATTGACACAGAAGCAACATTATTCCTGTAAGGCAAGACAGATTTCCCCCTGCTCTGCTGTGAGCAGGTCTAGCCCTTGTCTGTTTTGTAAGACAACCTCTGCCAGTGAGTCTAATTTGTTTTGGAGAGTTTTTATCATAAAGGATGAGGCTCGAACATCTTCAGACAATTGGTTGGACAGGTCAGTATATTTATCTAAGGCAACAGTGAGGCCAGCAGTACCTGTGGCTACAGCACCAGTGATGCCCATTCCCACCAAAAGTGGGATCAGTGTTACCGCTCGTTTTTGGCAGCCAACAGTGTAATCAAGTGTTGGCACCGGGACAGGTTGGTCACCTGAGACAATATCTATGTTGGGCAGGAAGGAAGCAGTTATGCATATACCTGTCTAGTTGGCTGGAATATAGGTATAGGCCCTATTATTACCATAGAAAAAATGTGTCCTGTCGGGGGGCACAGGGGGCCTGTATGATTGATAAATTGAACACAGGCAGTGGACAGGAGTTGGCCCATATCTATAAGGGTAGAATCATTTTGGGGAGAGCCCTACAGGTAGGTCATGGATATGTTGGTTGTCATTAATGGCTGGACTAGAAATGATTGGGAAGGTCTACAGGTGAAATTATGTGGATCACGAGAGGGGTCAATTATTGAGTTGGAGGGGATGGCTAAGGGCATAGGAGTGCCTAAGGCCATGCACAACCAGCAGTCTTGAGCTAAAGCAGGGTTAGTGAGGTTAAGTACATGGTGAGTGGCTGAAAGGATATCATAAGTTTGTGGGCCTAAATCCACACCCCATGATTTGGGGAGAGCTAATGGGTGGGAATTGATCTTTGGGAATAGACTGTCTTCTAGTCCTTTTAGTTTTTTCTCAACATAATATTCTCTCATTTTGTCTTGAGGACCTCCCCCATCTGAGACATGGATTGGAGCCCTCTCATACCAACAGACTGGCTTGTTGATTTCACCCTTTCAGGAGGCTTGGGTGCATATGGGGCTTCCTGATACAGAGGGGTTGAGGCCCCAATCTCCTCTGGCTGCTGCCATTTTTATTTTTGTAAGTATGGTTGTAAAATAAGTGGCATTATCTAAGCCAGTAATTCTTGTACAGCATCATAACAGGAGCTATGCATCTCTATCTGATATGACTTACACTCCTGTGAACAAGGCTCTGGTTGGTTATTTTGTTTGGGTATAATTTGAGGTTTAGTTTTGCATTCCCAATTTTGAGTTGATCCCCCTGTAGGGGAGGGCTTGGCCACAAGAACCGCAGTCTATTTGGCTGGTTTGTGTTCCTCCAGACCGAGAAGAGCCTGTAAGCGTAGCGAGGGTCCAGGGGTTTTGCCATGCAGCATTATCTCTGGCTATGCCCTCGCATTGATAAAAAAATTCAGATTTCCATAATAGATAATTGCCTCTGGAGAGAGTGGCTTTTGCTAAGTCTTTCCACTCATTAGGAATAATCCAGCCATGAGTCAAAGAATCTAAAACTGCAATGGTATAGGCGGCAGTCGGGTCGTATTGAGAGACTGCAGTCTTTAAGTCTTTTAGAGCTGTCACAGTGAGGGGTGTGTGTATCCTAACCGCTTGTGGTTCAGCGCCCTCTCATGGGGGAACATTGGCTTCTGTAACTGGAAACACCATTTTGGGCTGGCTGCCGGATGCAGGCGCCATTTTAAGAGCGTCATGAGGCTTGCCGGAGGCAGGCACCATCTTAGGAGCACTATAAGGCTGTGTAGTTCGGAGGGCCTGCAATTGAGGTGAAAGATTTTGGCATTCTTTTTCTAGCTGTATCTGTTTTAAAAGATCCCTTTTTCTTTGTTCTAATTCTGCTAGTATGCTAGAAGGTTGAGGGCAGATGCTAAGTGCATCATCATAGTCAGCAGGCCACTTAATGGCGGCCAGTGCTGCAACAGGGTCAGGATGGCATGTAGAGGCTTGTTGTGCTAGTTGTTCCCAGTCGACCTCTTGAAAATCAGAGAGACCGGGGTATAAAGACCTATATGAATCCCCAATTGGCTGCGGAGGCATGGAGGGTGGTGGGCCGCCATCTTGGAACCTGTCCATCATGTCAACAGGAGGAAGTGGTGGCAGATTGCCATCTTGGAGGATCTCTAACAGGTCATCAGCCTCTGCGACTGAGAGGTCAGAGGCTTCAGATTTTTCTGAGGACAGTTTTGGGGTAGGATTAGTGGAGTTGCGCAGGGCAGCCTCATCTTGTGCGACCATCTCCTCAATCTGACGATCTGCATGCCGCTGGGTAAGCAGCTCAGAGATTAAATTCCAGTATGCAAAGGTGGTCACTGGAACCTTTTCAGGACTGAAGACCCTATAATAATCTTTTAGAGCATCTCCTACTCTTTTCCACCTCTTGGTATCTATAGAGCCCTCTAGGGGAAACCAAGGGCAAACTTTATGGATAAACTGAAAATACTGCAACAATTCTTTTGTTCTAACGCTTACCCCTCTTGTCTTTAATGCCTTGCTAAGGCCTTCCACGAACAATTCATGTTCGCACAATGCTTGACCCATGTTGGGGAAAGGGGATGGGGTTGCCGTTCATTCACCGTGACTCAGGTGGCACGTCGGGCGGTTGTCTGCGCAGGCCTCGGTCCTTGATTCAATTTGCTTTAACTTTTAGCCGGCATTCTCGAACGGCTCCCTTGTTGACTCCCCTGTGCCAGGAGCCCCACATTGGGTGCCACTTGATCCAGCCCGTGGATCAATCTGTGGGGTATATACCTGGAGGGGGAATGGGGATGAATAAAGCAGGGTGGGAGACAAAGAGAGATGGAGACAAGTTGAGGAGTCCAATCAAGTCTCGTTTATTCAGGAAGTGGTCGCATCTTTTATGGGCCAAGGGAGGGCTGATGAGACAGGAAGAGGCTACGGGGTGGTTTCTGATGGGTCATTGTCACATCTGGGTATGTGACATAAGCAGGAGAGGATTATGGTTAATGTAGGCAGGTGCATCATGTGCCTATAGGAGAGGGAGGCAGGGAGGCAGCAATGGGGCTGTCGCGCCACTCCCTACAACTTATGTTGATCACTGCTTTTTCACTCACACCTATTATTCTTAAGTTATGTTTCTTTGGGTTGTATTGTAGTTGTTGAATTGTTACTTCCTGGTGCCTTGTTTTTTGTTTATTTTTTTTAAAGAAATCTTTCCTTTCATGATTGCAAGCTGCAAACTTGTCTTCAAGGTTTGAAAGTCAGTCTTTAGTTTCTTTCAAGTCATTTTCCAGCTTTCAGTGGAGTATTTAATTTCCTGGATATCTCTTTGAATCTGTTTCATGCATTCTAAATCTTTTTTGTATTGTTCATTCAAGATTTCCCTCATTTTCCTATGCTTCTCTAATTTTTAGATCTATGTCTTCTGTAAAGTTGTTTAGCAATGCTTTTATTTTGCTTTTCATTTCTTCTTTCACCTGAGGTAGTATTTCTGTCCTAATTTCTTTTATAGCCTCATGAAGTTGTTTCTTTACTTCAGTTGCCATCAGGCATGTGCTTCCCGATCTCTTCCATGTTTATATCTCCTGGACCAGCTATGCTTGGGATGGAGGCAAGATTCTGCCTTTTGCTTCTTTGCCTTGACATATTCCTGGGTTCCTCCAGACAAGTGTGTAGTGGGGTCCCAGGCACTTCCCGTGTTGACTACAATTTCTCTGCAGTAAGACTGTTTGGTTCTTTTAGCCAGTGCTGGCTATGGATATCTGAAGGCGGCCACTGGGTGTATTGGTGCAGGGATGTTTGCTGCTTTTCCCAGCCTGTGTTGGCTCGTAGGTGGTATGCCCATCAACCAAGGAGTGGATAAAGGAGATTTTAAAATGTAATAGAGTACTACTCAGCCATAAAGAAGGAAAAGTTCAAGTCGTGTCTAGGAAAATGGATGCAACTTGAGACTCTACTCAAGTGAAATAAACCTTCTCATGCATGTAAACATTGCATTATCTCCTTGGTGTGAGAAACTGAAAGAGTAAATAAGGACCAAAATGTACAACAGATATTGTGAAATGGGAGGAAATGTTTCAATAGGAAAGAAGAACTAAGGTAGGGAAGAGGGGAAGGAAAGGAAAAGAAAAAACAGTAAAATGGTATAAAGTGGAAACAAGTATTTGTTAATAGAGAGGGGAAGACGGGCTGAAGGGAGGAAAGGGAAGTGGTGAAAAAAGAGATATCAAAATACATCATGTACAGGTATAAATTCATTATGAACATGATCAGTATGTGTATATAAAATGTATCAATAAACTTAATTAAAATAATTTTAAGTCATAATTTCTATAACCTGAAGCGGTGACATGAGCCAGTTTCTTGGGAAGGTGGGACAAGTTGATGATCTGAGACTAAGAGTTTGAGCCTTTAGTGTGGTGTGCAAACTGGGTATTTGTGCTAAGTTCGGCATCCATATGGTAAGCTCGTAGAAAAGGGAGACCACCAGGCTACTCATGTTAGTTGGTAGCAGCTGTAAGTATAGTACTTGGGGCTGGGGATTTAGCTTAGCAGCATAAGCACCTGCCTTGCAAGCAGGTGGTCATGAGTTTGATCCCCAGTATCCATTTAAAAAAAGTAAAAAAAAATGAGTATAGTACTTATAAATAGTCATAGTATTTCAATGTGGGCAGCAAGACCTTGTCTTATTAAAAAGTGAAATAACTTCAAAGCTATAATTTTTATCATGTAATCCTAGGTCTGAAAGTATACTTAATAAAATCTCCTTGCTGCATTGGAATCAGCAATGAATCCTAATGGGAAATAATCCTCAGCCTTTACTGAGCCAAGAAATATTTACTGAGCATTTACTATGTTTGGTGGATCTCAAAAAAGGTGTAAGTGAGAACACCTGTAGCTTACATTTTAGTAGGTATGAGTGTTGTCCTCTTGAAATCTTAGCTCCACTTTAGAGAGACTTGACCTTAACTATGTTATTTTATTTCATAGCCCTTTGACCTTTAACCATAAGATCTATGAAATAAAAGATAGTAACAAAATAACATTTAAAAGCACTTTACAAGGGAGGTCAAGAAGAAAACAGATTTTGTGTACATAGCAGACTAATGCCTGAGAAACATGGACTTTGAATTGGGATAGGAATGTGAGCTTTTGAACAGGCCTGTAAAATGTTAGTGAACATTGTAGCAGTGTCTGCCATGTCACCAGACAGTCCTAGCAATCAGTCCTGTATACCATAGTGAGATGTAGCCTAGTGCTAGGATAACTTCTTTGTATCATTTATATTTCTTTTCATGTAACTTGTATAATTTCCTTTGTCCTCAGCTTTTCCTTGTTAGAAGTCCTGCACAATCTAAGATCCACTGGTTGTTATGGTTTGGAACTAAAATGTCCCCCACGTCATGTGCTAAAGGCTTGTTTGCCAGTAGGTGGCCTTTGGAAGATCATTATATCATGAAGCCTCTAACTTCATCAGTAGATTAGTAATTTGATGGCACTATTGGGAGTTTATGGAAACTAAGAGGCAGAGTCTAATTGAAAAGAGTGGCTCATGGGGTTGTGTCCTTGGGGCTTATAGTTCATCCCTGGCCCCTTCTTCTCTGTTTCTCTACATCTTGGTTGCCATAAGATGAGCAGCTTTGCTCCAACAGTCCCTTGTGCTATACTGTCTCAGTCTGGGAGCCTGCCAGCCACAGACTGACACTTCAGAAATAAAACTTTCCTTGTTAGTATTCTCCCACACTTTGCCACAGCAATGCAAAGCTGACTAACCCATTGTTGCACTTCTTCAGAGCTATTTGGATCTGTTTCCTTGAACTACAATTCCCAAGAGGAGCAGAATCACCACAATGGCCATATTACAGAAATGATATGTAGATTTCATACAAACATGAACAAAATATCAAATCACTTTTCACACAGAATCAGAAAAAAATACCACAATTTCTTTGGAATTGGAAGAGATCCAGAAGAGTCAAAACAGGAGGCACGATAATCCCATGGGTCAAGTTATACTACAAAGCTAGAGTAAAACAATCTGGCACAAAAATAGACATGTAGATCAATGGAAAAGTATAGAAGACACAGAAATTATGCCATTCATATTTAGCCATCTGATCTTTGACAAAGGGGCCAAAAGCATGCACTGGATAAAATGTAGACTCTGTAACAAATGGTGCTGGTAAAACTGGTTATCTACATGAAGAAGAATAAAATTAGAACTGTATCTCTCACTCTGTATTAACATCAAATCAAAATGAATCAGTGACCCAGATATTAAGACAAAAATACTGAAACCACAGGAATATAAATAGGGGAAAACTTGAAGCCTTAAACATAGACAACGACTTCGTGAATAGACATTCAATAGCTCTAGAAATGATACCAAGAATCAACGAATGGGATATTAAATTAAATTATTCATACCAATATAAATAGCATTCCATGTGGCATAAAGTGATGCAAAATAAACATTAGCTTAAGCGTGATTGGGTTGCATTCAGATCTATTCCATTCCTGAAAAACAACAGACCTTTTAAAATGCAGTCTCTTCAATAAATATTTGCAGGTAGTCTTTTTAAACTAGAATAATTCCAAACTACTGGCTTCAACACATCTGTATTGGTTATCTTTCCTGCTGCTGGGAACAAATACTCCTCAGTCACAACTTAAAGGAGGAAGCAATTTGTTTGGCTTCAAGGCAGAAACAACATGGTAGAAGGGCAAGTCATTACAAAGCTGTTTAGTTCATTGAGGCAGGAAGCAGAGCAGAGGAACAGCACCACTGAGAAAGGGACAAGGGACCAGATACAGACTCCAAGGCCAGGGCTCCGTGACTCACCCAGATATGCCCAGAAGAGCGCTTCAACAATCCCTTGGGTGGTCCCCAAGCCACTGAAGTTGACAACCTCCTTTAAATATCACAGCATCTGATGGGGGATGGGCGAGTGGGGGTGCTAAAATTTAGGGTTACAGTTGTGTTTTGTTGTCAGGTTTCTGCCCTGAGGTCCTGAGGATTTCATTCTATGTTTTTGCTCACCTCACAAGAATACATGAGTGATACTGATCAAAACTGTCAAGATCATACACACACACGTACACCCCATGCACACAAATGTACACGGGAAAGGGCAGCCTAAAAAGAAATTATGGTAACTCTAGTGAGATGCTGGAATAGAAAAAGGACAGTGAATAACAGCTAACGGAAGCAAATTGTTAATGTAATCACGTCAATATTGGTTTATTCAATGTACTACATGGATCCTACTAGTGTAAAATGTTAATAAAGAGAAACAGTCTACAGGAACTCTGTACTAAGCAATTTTTCTGATCCTTTTTCTCTCCTCTCTCTGCTTCCTCTTCTCCTTTGAAACCCTCCCTCTCCCCTCTTCCTCTTCTTCCTTTTCCTTCTTCTCTTCCTCCTCCTCCTTCTTCTCTTATGGTGTTAGGTATTGAACCTAGAGTCTTCACACTGAGCTTCATTCTCAGCCATTTTGCATTTTTTAAAATTTAATTTGAGACAATGTCTCACTAAGTTGCTAATTGACAAGCTGGCTTATACTTGCAATATTACTACCTCA